TTTTTTCAGAATTTCCCAATTTTCAACCCAAGAAATTTCAAAAAAAATCCAACCCCCAAACTGACGAGAATGGGGGTTTATATAGAAAAATCCCTATGGTTTTTGAAATTGGGATGGGTTTCACGAGTTTCCGCCCATTTCAATTCAAAATCTCAAAATCTTATCCGAAATTTCGAGCGGGAAGGGAGTTTGAGGCGAGGTGGAGGGTTGAGATGAAATCGTGGTACTAGCGAGCTACGTGGAGTCATCTCGGCGATGCAAGGACGAGAGAGTAGGTCTGCCACAGCCGAAAGCACTGCACCGCTGCCTTTTTTGGTGTCTGTCGTTGCTGCGTTTTCGGCGCAGCTCTGTTCTTTTCTTTGCAGGTCGCGATGGGAGGGGGGAGAGAAAGAGTGTGTTGGGAGAGGGGGAAGATTTTTCCGTTTCTGGGTCTGTTTTTCTGCGTTCTTCTGGGTTCTGGGAATTGTTCTTGTTTTGGGACATGGCGTGGGTGAGGATGGGGAAGAAGAGAGGGACGGGGCCGGGTTTTTGGGCCGGGTAGAGGGAAGAAACGGGTATTTAAGGGTATTGGGCCGGGTAGGAGTGTTGGATGTTGAGTTAATATGGTGTGGGTTGATGGAAGAAATATTTAAAATGGGCCTGGGGGATAAATTACACAATGGGGAGGGAATTGGGTTAGTTTTAAGAGCAGGCCCATTTTAGCTAACGAAAGGCTACACCTTAAAGGTGAATTCGTATTGATTAATTAACGAGCTTCCTTAAAGTGACTAGTTTGATAGAATACTTTTTAAACTTAAGATATACATACATATACATATACATATACATATACATATACATATATATATATATATATATATATATTTTATTCATAAAATATACAAACTATATATACGATTACGTAATATATATATATATTTATCTAACGTTATGATAAGTAGCATAAGATCCGTATATTATATACATTTTTTACTTATATATATATATATGCATATGTATACATATATGTATACATATATATACATATATATATACCCCTTTTTTTATTTTATTTTATTTTTTTAAAAAAAAAATTCACAAGATTTATAAAACTAATTAACTTAAATAATTTGAAAAACTCACGAAGCTCGATAATTAATTTATACCGACGTGGGTCAAAATTGGGTGTCAACAACTGTCCCTCATTTTACTTGGGTTGATGCAAGCAACTCGAGAAAAATGAAGTTGACCGAACCAGTTTTGACCAACTCCATTCGCTTTTAAGAAGAAAGATTTGACAAAGAGTTTAGGAATTAGGGCCGAACCTTTGAAAACGGGTCTCCTACATATCTCAGGCTATATGAGAATTCAGACCACTTGCAGCTCGATAAGCTTGATTTACCGCACGATTTCAAAGAATCAAAAGCCACCTTGACACCGAATTATGAAGGTATCGAAATGCTCGAGAATAGAATTCGAGAGCGAAATGTTGGAATACAGCCGAGTTTTCAACATTGAATCCGCCTACATACCCTTAAACCTTCGGAATCAGGCTGTGCGTAGTTCGACTCGATCGTTGGAAAAGGAAAACTATTATGCTAGCTAACCTTCGGTTTTGGACGAGTGACACATTAAACGAGTATGAAAAAGAGGCTTGCGACCTCTTAGCCATGAATGTGGAGCTCTTCACATCCATAGGTAAGAACTTACACGGACATAATTTCCAAAGCTCTTGGCGCATTGTCACTCAGATTGGAAACTCGCCCCCGATAAAACAAAACTTCCGGACGCAAGACGGAAACTGACAGAAACTAAAGAAAAACCCGCATGTTTTGAGAGGGTGGTTCGATTGTGGTGGAAGTCGCTCCTCTGCTCGCGTCCTAAGAGTTTGACATTCCTCTTTAGACTATGTCCCAGTTCGCTGCTAAGAAAAAGTTCCACGTTGTGCTGCATCCTTTTTGATGTCGTCCGTATCTGTGGTTTTTGGAGAATTCATCCTTTCGGATGCTCTCGACAAAACTAAGATAAAACTCATTAGCTTAAAAATGCAATTAGGATGGGAGACAGTGTCTTTTTACCATGTCGACACTTCCTTGTTCTCCTCAATATTCGACGTCGACTCGATCGGTCTGACCTCTAGCAAATAAAGCTTATGCTTTGTGCTTTGTAAATAAAATCTTCATGGTATTCTTCATTTGATGCTAAAATAAACAAATAAATGTTGATGCGATATTGATGTCTCTTTTGTTGCTATCTTCGATGCTCTTCTTGATGTTTTCTTTTATAAAAATAAGGAATGTGGTTGAGGCCGATGGATAAATATTGCTCTTTCTTTATCCATGTATGTCCTCTTGCGGGGCCTAAACATCATCCCGCAATACGTAAATTCCCGCGAGATATGAATCTTCTCACGATGCATAACTTTCAGCGAGGAATAAAATCTTCTCGCGATGTGCAAATTTAATGACTCGCGATGCATAAATTTTGACGAGGCATGAAATCTTCTCGTCGTACATAATTGTCAGCGAGGCATAAAGTCTTCTCGCGATGCATAAATTTTGACGAGGCATAAAATCTTCTCGTCGTGCACAATTAATGACTCGCGATGCATGATTTTTGCTATGCATGATTTTCAGAGAGGCATAAATTCTTCTCGCGATGTATAAATTTTGACGAGGCATGAAATCTTCTCGTCATGTATAATTATTGGCTCGCGATGCATGATTTCCGCGATGCATGATTCCGCGATGCATGAATTCCAGCGAGGCATAAATTCTTCTCGCGATGTATAAATTCCAGCGAGGTATGAAGTCTTCTCGCGATGTATAAATTTCGACGAGGCATGAAATCTTCTCATCGTGCATAATTAATGACTCGCGATGCATGATTTCCGCGATGCATGATTTTCGCTATGCATGAATTCCAGCGAGGCATAAATCCTTCTCGCGATGTATAAATTCCAGCGAGGTATGAAGTCTTCTCGCGATGCATAACTTTTGACGAGGCATGAAATCTTCTCGTCATGCATAACTATATATACGATTACGTAATATATATATATATTTATCTAACGTTATGATAAGTAGCATAAGATCCGTATATTATATACATTTTTTACTTATATATATATATATATGCATATGTATACATATATGTATACATATATATACATATATATATACCCCTTTTTTTATTTTATTTTATTTTTTTTAAAAAAAAAAATTCACAAGATTTATAAAACTAATTAACTTAAATAATTTGAAAAACTCACGAAGCTCGATAATTAATTTATACCGACGTGGGTCAAAATTGGGTGTCAACAGGAACTTAAAAGATATTTGCAAGGCTTTCCAATTCAAACAATGGTGGAATTTCAGAACCAAACAAATTTTGTGGGGTGATTTCTTGAAGACAAAGTATTGCCAAAGGTCTAATCCAATTAGCAAAAAATGGAATTCTGGGGATTCCTTAACTTGGAAATATATGTTGATGAACAGACCACAAATTGAGCAACACATCCAATGGAAGTTACAAGCTGGAAATTGCTCATTTTGGTGGGATAATTGGTTAGGCAGTGGACCGTTAGCACAATTCACCAACAACAACAACAGATTCAATAACTCCAAAGTGGCAGATTTTTGGGAGGCAGGAAAGTGGAGCTGGAGCAGATTATTGGAGCAGGCACCAGCCAGCCAGCTCTCCAAAATCTTAACTACAGAGATTTCCCCCCATCAACACCTACCAGATCAGGCTGTGTGGAATCTTAACAACCATGGTGGCTTCACTTGCTCACCAGCTTTGGAAGAAATAAGAGAAAAAAAGGCTAAGAAGCACTTTAATTCACAATTATGGCATAAAAACATTCCTTTTAAATCTTCCTTCTTATTATGGAGAACCCTTAGGGGTAAACTCCCTACTAATGATAAACTAATTAATTTCGACATTCAGCCATCCAATTGTGTTTGCTGTTTTGACAAATCAGGTACGGACTGCATAGAACATATTTTCAACTCCGGGAACTTTGCAGCCAAAGTCTGGAGCAGTTTTGCAGCCACTACAGGCATGTTGCCAGACTTTTCTTCTCTGCAGGTACTGCTGCAGCAATGGTGGACTGCCACGCCAAAAAATGCAGCCCACAAATTGCTCATGCAAGCCACCCAAATATTCATTTGTTGGAACCTTTGGAAGAACAGGTGTGCAGCTAAATACGGAGGCAAAACAACCAACATAAGCAGGGTCAAATATGTCATATACAAGGACACCTACAAGATGCTTAACACTGCCTTTCCTCAAGTTAGATGGCTGACAAAATGGACAGATTTAATCCAAATGAGTGAGAGGTGAGTGCACGACATCAAGGTAAACATGGTGAATTGGATTAGACCTCAAGATCAATGGCTCAAAGTAAACACGGATGGCAGTGCCATTACCAACCCAGGCAGGTTAGGGGCTGGTGGTATCTTGAGGGATAAAAATGGCAGGTTGGTAATGGCTTTCACAACACCACTTGAAGAGGGTACTAACAACAAGGCGGAAATTGAGGCAGCAATTTTTGGTTTGACTTGGGCAATTGAACTTGGATATAGAAACATAATATTGGAAATAGACTCCCAATTGGTTGTGCATTGGATCTTAAAGAAGTCTCTCCCTCAATGGAACATTATCACACAGTTGGGAAGGCTACAAAACCTCATCTCTCAAACCCAAAACTTCAAATGCTTACATGTTTTCAGGGAGGTTAATTGGGTGGCTGATGCACTATCAAATCACAGCCACAGGATAACCTCTCCACAGGTTTACTTCAACAGCCAGCAAATGCCTAAGGAAGCAAAATCATACTACTATCTTGATCTTTTGCAAATGCCTAGTTTTAGAAGGAAAAAGACCAAAAGGATTAAGGAACCTCCTTGATTATCCTTGTATCTTTTCAACTTAGCTATAATTAGAATTATAGCTACTTTGAATAGGTTAGGATAGATTATAGGCTTTCTTGTAAAGGGAGAGTCTCCCTAGTTTATGTCTTCTAGATGCTTTGTATTGAGAGGAGTCCTCTCACTAGATACTTAGTATTTTAATTTCATCTTTGATGTAAGGGGAAGAGTTAACTTCCTTCGGGAAGTCAATTCTAAACCATCTTAAGTAGGAGGTAAGGTTTATGTCCCCCTCCTTGTATTTTGTTTTTGTTATTAATGATTAAGTCTGGGAGTGTTGCTCAACTCCTACCCCTCCAAGGGTTATTCAACTAAAAAAAAAAATACCTCTAATTATCACTCCACTAAACTTGTTAGTAAATTGCATTTACACACTAGAACAATATTTTCTTTTAATTGAGAATCTATTAAACCCGTGATTATTCATACTATATATATTTTCCACTTAACTTACATTAACCACTTAAAAGATGACACGTAATTATACGCATTAATCTCAATAAACCGAAGAAATGTTAAAATAAAATCCTCATAGTTACCTTCAAGCTGTGCCATACATGCAATTGATCAAGTAAAGAAATAAACGAGTATGTCATACTACTACATTAAGTTTGTTTCTCTTTTCAGTCTTTCAACTTCTAAGCCAAAGATCCGCGTAAATCTATGTAGACAATTTCTGCTTTAGGCGATGCCCGCGAAAAATTTGATATCTCTGCGAATATCTGTAATCTTCTATCGAGCTGTTCTTGATCAAGAAACTGTCGATCGATTAGCATTCTCTCCAACACAGGGGACTCGGCTAACAAAAACTTGATAAGCAGCAACTCAGAAGTTGTTCCTGTTAAGCAGCGTAGCTTAACTTCCTTGAGGTGATTAAATGTCACATCCGATAAATGTTTGAGCTCAAGGGGTTCTGGAATAGGTTCATCCTCGTCATCTTCATCTTCATCGTCATATCTATAGTCATGAACCTAAGAAAGATAACAAGAAGTCAATTCATAGATTATTGAGGAGAGAAAGAAATAAACTAAATGAGCCGAAGTACTACGTACCTGTATTTCGAGATATTCTAGATACGGGGAACTTCTTATTAAGCATAGAGCATAAGAAAGCTTGTGTGATTCGACCAGCTTAATGTCAGGCAGGTAAAAGCGTTTGACGCTGTTAAGATTAAACGGAAGTCTTGTTGGCGCTTCATATCCTTCTTCAGCAAAGAACTGGGAAACAATTACCAAAAATCAAGATTAAGTTAGCCCAAATGGAAATTTCATCCACTAAAGTGCATAATAATGAAGTCATCAAGCAATATTTACCCCGGAATCAAGCAAGAAAAAGCGGAGGTGCTCGAGAGCAGGACAACACTCGAAAAGCTTTGCAAAATCAAGTTCCTCTGCTTGAATATAGTCACCATACAGCAATAATTTTACCAGACGAGGGACATTCTTAAGGCAGACACAACTTATATTGCCTGTGAGATCAAACGATTTCAACATGGGGGCATTAATTTCAATTGCGTCTAACCTGTCTCCAATATCCAGACCCAACTCCTCAAGCAACGGGCAATGAAATATTAAACTTTCCAGCAACTCAGAAGAAATATTAACTTCACATAAATTCAGGCTTATTAATTTATCAAATCCTTGAGAGGCTAATGGATGTTGTATTGAGCAATAAGCAAGACTTAGATGCCTCAGCTGCGAACATGTGAAAAGTGAAGAAGGCAATTTGTATTCATTTCTATGTGGAAGGTGAAGTGCAAGATGTTGAATGTTATTCCTCGAGAGGAAATATATGAAGTTGTCAATCTCAGGACAGCTTGCTAGAAGAACAATATCAAGGCTAACCTTAGTAATTGGCCCTTCATGAAGGCTCAAAAACTGGTACATCATCTTCCTAAATTTTATGGTAGGGTTCAGTAAATCCTTCTTTGTTATCCAAAGAGAATCATCAATCTCCAACTTTGTAAGACGACACCAGTGATACCTCCATTTCTTTGATAAGATGCTTGTTCTCACAGCATCTTTAGAAGGCAAACACATCAATATGACATCAATGATATTATCTGGAAGGTAGCTAAGGGCATCGGGAAGTACACTTCGACCAAACTTTCTTGCCTTAGGAGGCATCATATAACAATGATCACTGAGAAGCTGTAGAAAATAAGCAATAGTATGAAATAAGGTCTCTTCAAGTTATCTGGACATAACAACTATTCATTTAGTCAAATCAACATAAGAACGAAAGGAACACTTCCAACAATAATCACCAACAAAATGAAGTAACTAGAAAATAACATGAAGTAAGGAATCTCTAAACTATCAAGACAGAGCGGCTATTCACAAAGCCAAATCAACATAGGAAATATTTTAGTATTCAAATATTCTATCCAATAGGTTATATTGAACCATTTGATCATTTCCTTAACAATTGAGGAAGAGAATGTAAGCGAAAAACAACATTTAGAAATTATATACACACAGAGAAAACTAAAGACCCCCATTTTTCAGCCTTCAAGTTCGACACGACATAGAAACACATATATACACAGTAAGTGGAAAAGAATTAGCATCAATTTTCTGAAGAAGAAAACAAGGGGAAGGCTAAAAGACTTAGGTGAAAAATATCTTAAACTATCACCATTTTTCAAACCAAAATTATTCATCACTCACAGAAACCTATGAACTAACACGATTTCATTTTAAAATATCCCCGGAGGAATATGACATGCTACATGAACATCACACTCCAAAGAGTTCTAAGTTGCAGTACACACGGAAAAAAAATCGAGTAAGCAGGTTAAAGCCTTCCCATGCCACTACGTACCTACTACCTCCCACCAGTAAATATATCTGATATCTCTACCCGTCAGCCTTAAGCAGATACAAAGAAATCACCTATAATATCTTTCAACTCCACTGGAATCTGAACCATCCAGAAAAACACTATCTTTGTAAGATTTTTTGGACCAACTTATATAAATTCTTATGCTTTGAAACTAAAAACTACAAAAAGGAAATAACTTTTATCAACTTTAGGAACATACAAACACACCCAAAAGGAAACCAGCAACTTAAATTCCAGGGGTGAATTTATATGCTAATTACAGGGCACATAAACCCGTGGTCTCTTCGTAAAATTAAATGGTGCACTTGATTGAAAATGTTGAGTTATTAACCTAGATGAGTCAGGGATCAATTTCCGCTTAATACATTTTCTTCTGCTGCACTCATATTCTGAAAATCCTAAATTCGCCCAAAACACTTATTTTCAGAGATTGTAAGTTCATCAAAAAAACGAAACAAAATGATAAAATGCAGAAAAATAACCAAATTATAATGGAAAAAGATTTAAAGCTTACCAAGGAAGAAGAATTACCTTTTTCTCTTCGAAATTGCCTCTATGAGTTTTACCCTAATCTAGGGCATGGAGTTCGGAAAGAGAGAAATTGTGGGGAAACTTTATAGTATATTACCGGGTCAGATTCGATTTTCATTTCAAGTGAAATACAGATATTGAGCGCGAGAAAAACAAGGTAGAATGAAAAAGTATTTTCAATTATACATGGTACAAATAGATATTAGTCAAGTTAGTAAATATGAAATTCTGTGTCTATTTTACTCTTGTAATGAAATCGTACTATTAATACCGTAGCATAGATGACTAATAATTAATAGAGGAGATATAGTAAAATTATCCTTTTACTTGTTGTTTCTTAATTAAGGAATATGTTACGGCAAACATGGACAAGTAATAATAGACAGAAGGAATAGTAAGCTTCATGTATAAGGTTAGTTGGTACTTTCTCCGTTCTAAAAGAAGTTGTGTTATAAGATTTCAAGAAATAACTACAAGGATGGTTGTGGTGCAGTGGTGGGACTATTGCTTAATATGGTTGGAGCTTCACCCCCAAATGATCCCTAGAGTGCGCGATCCAAAGTTAGTCAAGGCTTAGGACACCCCCAAATGGACCCTAGAGTGTGCAATTCGGAGATAGTTGGGGCTTCAAACACCGTGTGAAAAAAAAGGAGATAGAATTAATCGAACTCTTCCAGAATAACCCTTGTTTTGATACATGATGTTTTATAGGATTAAGGAATAATTTATTTCTTCAAGGCAATTAATTAGGGGTAAATTAGTAGAAACACTCCTTATTTTCTAAGAATAATTAGTTTTAAATTTTTAAATTGGTAAACACATAGTTATAGACCAATTATATCAACGTTTGAGTCTCTCTTCTAAATTTTTTAACTTCTAACCCAAAAGTTGTGATCTGATTAATCAATGTAAACTACTACTGCTTTAGGTGATGCACAAAAAAAATTTGATACCTCGTGTCAAGAGGTAGAACACATGTATATATTAGCATTCTCACCAACACTGGGACATGGCTAACAAAAGCTTGATAAGTTGCATCGTGGTTCCTCCAAAGCGTTCCAGCTTAACTTCCCTGAGGTGATTTAATGTCACATCTGAGAAACATCCGAGTTCAAGGCATTCTAGAAACAATTACTCTTCATCTCCACAGTGAACCTAAGAAAGATAATAAGAAGTCAATTCACAAATTATTGAGGATCTACGAAGTATGAAAAATTATCAACAAATAAGAAATAAAGAGAAGAGTCAGCATTAAGAACCTTAATTTCAAGATATTCTAAAATGGGAAACTTCTTATCAAGCGAAGAGAAAAAGAGAGCTCACATGACTCCACCAGGAGAGTTTCAGGTAGGTAAATCAATTGGCACTGTTAAGATCAAAAGGAAGCCTAGTTGGTGCTTCATATCCTTCTTCAGCAAATAACTAGGAAAAATTTAAGTAAATTCAAGATCAGTTAGCCCAAAAGAAGTTCCATCTGCTAAAGTGCATAACAATGAAGTCATGAAGCAATAATTACCCAGATATTAAGGAATTTAAAGAGGAGGTGCTCGAGAGAAGAACAAGACTCGAAAACCTTTTCAAAATCAATATCCACTGCCTTCATATTGTAACCTACCAGAATACTTTTACCAGAAGAGGGACATTCTTAAGGCAAAGAACATATATTGCCAGTGAAATCAAACAATCGCAGCATGGGGGATCAATTTCAATAATGTTCAGAATTTTGGGATATCCAGCATCAACTGCTCATGCAACGGGCAATGAAATATTAAAATTTCCAGCAATTTAGAAGAAATTGTGACTCTGCATAGTTCAAGGCTAATTAATTTATCAAAACCTTGAAAAGCCCATGGATGATGTATTGAGCAATTATGAAGGTTTAGACACCTCAGCTGCAAACACATGAAAAGTGAAAAAGGCAATTTTGTATATCTTTCTAAATGGAAGGTGAAGAACAAGATCTTGTATGCCACATATGAAGTTGTCAACTCATAGGTTCTATAACAAATTCATAATCATAGTTTCTGCAGCTCTTTGCTAATCACGGGTTAGTTAAACAATAAATGGTTGCAACAATACTGCAAACAGGCAAGAGCTTCCAAACACAAAGCTAACTGTACACACCAGCCTCAATAAGCCATCATGTGTAATACGTATTCAATAATGCATTCATGCACAAGCAGTAAATGTAAAATCCTTAAAACATGTAGTGACAGTGTAATTACAGAACAAATTAATCAAAACATTCATCTGACAACCCTCATGTTCCCAAGCAAAACATACTGTTATACATCAACCTTTGTTTCTCTCATTTCAATTTCAACTTGTAAGCCAATAATTGATCTGCTTAAAAATCTATGTAGACTACTTATGCTTTAGGTGATGCTATCAAAAAATTTGAGACCTTGGCAAATATTTTTGATCTTGTGTCAAGAGGTTTATCAGGTAGATAACGTGTATCAATTAGTATTCTCAGCAACACACGGGACTTGGCTAACAAAAGCTTGATGAGTTGCGTCTCAGGTGTGGTTCCTACAAAGCATCGCAACATAACTTCCCTGAGGTGATTTATTCAAGTTTAAAGCATTGTAGAATACTATCATCCTCTTCATCCTCACAGTCAACCTAAGAAAGACAAGAAGAAGTCAACTATCATATTATTGAGGATTAACAATTATGCAAAGAATCAAAGCACTAAGAAGAACCTTAAATTTTCTGTACCAACTGCTCAAGCAAAGGGCAATGAGATATTAAATTTTCCAGCACTTCAGAAGAAATTGTGACTCCACATAGTTCCAGGCTAATTAACTTATTGAACCCTTGAAAGGCTGATGGATGATGTATAGAGCAATTATGAAGATTGAGATGCCTCAACTGTGAACATGTGAAAAGTGCGCAATTTGTACATCTTCCCAAGTGGAAGGTGAAGTACAAGATCTTGAATGTCATTTCTCGAGAGGAAACATCTGAAGTTGTCGATCTCAGGACAACTTTCTAGATAAGCAACATTGAGGGTAAACTTAGTAATGGGTCCTTCATGAACTGTCAAAAGCTGGTAGATAATCTTTGTAAATTTTATTGTAGGGTTCAGTAAATCCTTTTTTGTTTTCCAAAGAGACTCAAAGCTTCAACTCTTTAAGTCTACACCAGTGATACCTCCATTGTTTTTTGATACGGTATTTGCTTTCACAGCATCTTTACACGTCAAATGCATCAGAATGACATCGGTTATATTATCAGGAAGGTAGCTAAGAACGGCAGGAAGTAAACTTCGACAATGTTTTCAACGTTTAGGAGGCATCATATATCAAAAATCACCAACAAATTGTAGAAAATAAGCAATAATACAAAGTAAGGATCTCCAACTAATGTGGATGAAATTTATATACACGTTTTGCGATCAACATACGAACGAAAGGAACACTTACAATACTAATCACTAAAATTCTGTAGCGATAAACAATAATATGAAGTAAGGACTCTCAAATTATTTGGATAGTACATCTATTCACATAGTCAAACTAACATAACAAATTAAGGTGCATTCTTGTTGAAATCAGTCAACTATCTCCTTTTAATACCTAAGATGCAATTTGCCTTGAGATATCTATATTGAAGGCAGGACATTAGCTTGGGTATTTCATGCAGATTCTTCAATCAGAAGGAAAAATATACTTGACATACCCAGACTGAGTATGTACCAGTAAGGAAATCCATGTAACATAGCTTAATATCCATTACTTGCATTCTCACAGAATGAACACCGTCCATTAAAGGTGTGTTTGGTATGTAGCAGTGTTTCAAAAGGCGGGGGTGTGAGGCGAGGCGTTTTATATAGTACGGGGCGAGGCGTAAGCCTCGAGACACGGGGCGTAAGTTCCATGGATCTACGGGCGTAGTCGCATGTATATTCAAATTTATAATTTTATTACTAAATAAAATAAGCAAAAGTAAACTTTTCAAATAAATTATGATTTTTATGTGAGATAAAGTATTAATATTCAATAATGAAGAAAGAAGGATTATCATTATTATTAGAGAAAATATCATTACACTAATAATAAAAATATGATTTAAAGCAAAAAAATTAAAAGGAATATATTAAAAACGCCGGGGCGTACTTTTTACGCCCATGAATTACGTTTTTATGTTCAGGGCTTATGCCTCAAATTTTAGGACTTACGCCTTATAGATCTACATTTTTAATTTACGCCTCAGAGGGTTTTTGGTACGCCCCGCCCCAAAACTCACCCTGGGACTCGCCCCAAAATGTTTTTGAAAACACTGGTACGTAGTTTCCAATTTTCTCCAATTAAGTTGGTCAAAGATTTGGAAAACATTTTCTCTAGAGAAACAAGTTCCTTCAAATTGAAGAAAATGACTTTCCTAGTGAAAGTAGGGAAAACAACTTTTATAAATGTCAATACAAACTAATTGTCTAATACTCACCTTCAAGCACATCCCAACCCCACCCCAAGGGCGGACCCACCCTTGGGTAAGGGGTCAGAAAATTATATTGTATATAGAGGTCAAATTTTGTTTAATAAATATATATACAAGCATTGACACAAGTTAAAAGTTTAATATAGTGGTCAATGTGTTGCGAAAATTCCAGAGATCGTGTGTTCAAACCCTACAATTTTCATAATTATATTTTTACTACAACAATTAACACTCCTTAATGATAATCCTGGATCCGCTACTGCCTCCTCCTAACCCTGACTCCCCCTAGAGTTATCTAGATTATATACAAATGCTTTTGGAACAAGATTTCTCCTTATTTACTTAATAACACATAATAAGAAAGAACTCCACTTACATTTGTACCAAAAACACACTCTAAGAGTTAGCCTCTATAGAAACAAGAATCACATTATCTCAGCAAGAATTTGTATCTTCACGAAACACTAAGATTTTTGGGACAAACGTAAGCCTCTATAGAAACAAGAATCACATTATCTCAGCAAGAATTTGTATCTTCACGAAACACTAAAATTTTTGGGACAAACGTAAATATCTTCTTATGCTTTAACAAAAAACTATGTAAAGGAAGTAACTTTAATTGATTTAACAAAATATACACATACCCAAATGGAAAGAAATGATGAAAACACAGAAAGAGAAGATTTAAAGCTTACATGCAAAAGAATATAGTTGATGATGGAATCCGCCTTCTTTTTTTCTCTTTTGAACTTTTGTCAAACATCTTCCCAAGTGGAAGGTTAAGTACAAAATGTTGAATGTCATTCCTCGAGAGGAAATATATGAAGTCGTCGATCTCGGGACAACTTGCTAGATGAAAAACGTAGAAGGTAAACTTAGTATGAATACTTAACGATAAATACACATATGGCATGATAACAGTGTCAACATTTACGCATATCTCTTGATATCCATTGATGGCATTCTTAGCATGAACACCTTTCATCAATACTTCATATATATATTGTTGGATTAACAACAACCACTACACCTCAATCCCAAATAAGTCGGGATTGGGTATATGAATCCTCACTGACCATGTTTCTACATTTTAACTCATCTCATGCCATCATTATGCCAAACAAAAATTGAAGTAAAAAATTGTGATGATGATCAAAAGCACACTTGACTATCACTTATTCGCGAGTTTTACACCTCCACTATCAGGTGTTCCCTTTTCCTACCTTAATTATTACCATATGTGTATTAAAATACACCTAGTTAGGTAGATGGTGATAGTTCAAGAAGGAAAAAGGAACAACTAATAATTGGCTTAAACAACTTCTAGATGTGTTTTAAGACATAGATAGTGGTAGTTCATGTAGAAAAAGGGAACAACCAATAGTTGGGGTGTGAAAACTAGCAAAAATTTATAGTTTAGGTGTGTGTTTTACCATTAACAATAAAAAACAATATTACAAGTTCTCTGGCACATAAATCTATGATAATTTACAATGATTCACCCTTGATACTCATTTTTTTCTTGATTTCGAGATTATGTGAGATGACGACAAGAATGAGAAGAGGTGCACTGGGAACACGACAGAGAAAGAGAGTAACATTATACAGTACATGCCAGAAAACTGAAGACCCTCAATTTTCACTCCAAGTTCGACACGACATAGAAACACATATACACAGTGAGTGGAAAAAAATTAGCCTCAATTTTCTGAAGAAATCAAGGGGAAGGCTAAAAGACTCCTATAACAGTAAAGAAAAAGACTGAATAGGTTAAAAATATCTCAAACTATCACCATTTTGCAAGTTTCAAACCAAAATTATTCATCCCTCACAGAACCCTATGAACTAACATGATTTCATATTAAAACACCCCAGGAGTAATTTGACATGCTACACGAACACCACACTCCAAAGAGTTCTAATTCGCAGTAGACGTGGAATAGAAATTGAGTGAACATGTTAAAACCTTCCCTACACCAACTTGCACTTAGCTCGACTATGCCACCATGTATCTACTGTCTCACACCAGCACAAATATCTACTTACTACACCCACCATCCAAAAAAACACTATTTTTGTAAGATTTTCATGACAAACATAAATAGTTTCTTATGTTTTGAAACCAAACACTACAGAAAGGAAGTAGCTTTTATCGACTTAAAAAACATGTACAAATACCAAAGGGCCAATTTTTATGCTAATTATAGGACACATGAACCCATGGTCTCTTCATAAAACTAAATGGTGCACTTGGTTGAATCTTAAAAACAGAGTATCGAAACATAGGAAGATAAATACACTTATTTTCAGAGATTGTGAGTTCATCAAAAGTGGGAAATGATAACCAAATTATAAAGGAAAAAGTTTTACAGCTTACCAAGGAAGAAGATTGCTGATAATGGAATCAACCCTTTCTCTATTTGGACTTTTGTCAAACACCTTATGCCCTATTTGTAAATTTGAAGAAATTTGTTCTAATCTAGGGCATGGGGCTTTGGAGGGAGAGGGAATTGGGAAAGTACTTTTTAACGTTAAATACGAGTGTCGAGTTGGAGTCATGAAAATCAGTGTTCTAAAAAGTGGGCGTTTTATATGGTACAGAGCGAATTGTAAGCTTTGAGACATAGAGCGTAAGTCTCATGGATCTACTTAATCTCGTGTATATTCAAGTTTATAAACTTATTACTAATAAAATAATCAAAACTAAATTGTTTAGTGATTTTACAAGTAGACTTTTACGAACAATCTATAATATATAAAAATTATATTATAATTTTTATTTGATATAAGTATTAAAAATCAATAATGAAGAGAAAAAAAGTATTATAATTATTATTTGATAAATATCATTATATCAATAATAAAAAATATGATTAAAAGCAAAATAAATTTAAAAGAACAAATTAAAAAGTCTGGACCTACTCTTTTACGCTCAAGACTTCTTTTATGCTCGAGGTTTTGCCTCAAATTTAAAACTTACGTCCTATCAATCTACATCTTTAATTTAAGCCTAAAAACGTTTGAGGTACGCTCCACCCCGAGACTCGCCTTGAAACTCACCCCAAAACATTTTTGAAATTATTAATGGATATAATAACGGTGGAAAAGAATAAGGCAAAACGAAAAAAGAAAACATTTTAATGTAACCTTCACCAAATATTGTGTTAGGTGAATAGAGATATAAGTAAAATGAAATAGGGGTTAGAAGCAACGTAGGGGCATATTTGAATCTATTTAATTGTTTTGAAGGGTATTTTTATACTTTTAAGGAAAAAAATGCAACCAAAATTTTGATATTTTTATTTTCTATTTAAATTATTATCAATCAATCACTATATATATATATATATATATATATATATATATATATATATATATATATATATATATATATATATATATAGATGAGGGTCGTAGCAGAGGTGATGTGACACCTCTTTATGACCTCCATTCATTTTTCTTCTTTTACTTGACTTTTTTCTTTTTTTTCCAATTACTTTTTATAAATTTATACCTCTTTAATTATATAAATTTTATTCTTAAATTAGTATTAATAATATTCATAACTCTCAAACCTTTCATATTCATAACCTCTTAAGTCTTTCATATGCATAACTTCTAACTATTTAATGTGAAAGGTTACATTAACACTATAAAATCATATTAAAATTGTGTGTTATTTTGTAGTCGTCTTTGGGTAGAGAATTAGTGTAAGACATGTTACAATATTTGTAAGCTTTGAGGTGCATCATTTTTTCAAATATTATTTCATATATTACTTTTAATTAGAAAGTAAGGCTAATATGTCAGTATATTTTTATTTCTTCTCGATAAATTATTTTGTTTTGTTATCTTTGAAATTCATTATATGACTAATAATGTATTTGTTATTATTTTTCTTGACTCTTGTGTATAGGATGAAATGATAACATCAAGCGATGAAAATTAATGAATTTTGAGCTACACATGTATATTGATTATTTGTCAAAAATGATTATGTAGGAAAATTTATGATTAAATGTAATTTTCCCTTATCCTTTATGAGATATAATATTTTATTTTGCTAACTTTGAGATTCATTTTGGGATTAATAATTTATCTGTTATTATCTTTCTTGACTCTTGTATATAGGATGAAATGAAAATATCCAAAGATGGAGATTAATGGATTTTGAGTTATATAGTGATTATTCTTTTTTTAGGTCCTTAAGAAGTAATGTTTCTATTATATTATTTTCTTTTGAATTATTTATGTTTTGTCAAAAATGATTATAAGTATTTAAATGTAATTTTCTCCTTATTTTTTATCTTTTTCTTCTTTTGGTAGATAATTTTTAAACTTATTTATTCAGATTTGCCGATTATAGGAAATATATCTATAATGAAAATGGTTAGACATTCTTGCATAATTTGAGTTTACAAGGAAAAATAATTTGATATGTCTGATATAATTACAACTCTTTTTTTATTGAATCATACATTTAATATTATTTGTTTATGTTCATGAAGATAAAAATTCTGATTTTTTAAAGAAAAATATTTAATTTTCTCTTTAGACCTCTATATGATTCTTAGACAATTGAATTATATTATAATGATAACACTCATCAAAAATAATTATTTGTTCAGGTAAATTCGTCTCTCACTTTTTTATTGATAATATTAGTTTATTGTGTTTGTGGCGTATAATATTTTAAACATAGAAGTAGAAAATGAGTAAATGATATCGATGTGCTACTTAAAGAAATACGTAAATATACTTTCATAATCTGGTTAAACAATTTTTATTAACAAAAATAATAGAACATAAGAATGTAAAAATAATTTATAATTTTTAAAATACTCATGATTTTATTAAAAATAAATTATTTATTAATATGTAAAATTGCAATTCTTAATTTTTATTTTTTAATAAAAAATTTATTAATAAGTCTTTATATCTTCATATTTGTTATTTTCGGGAGTTCTAAAGTTATTTCGAAATTGCGATTAATTTATAAGTTTTAATATGCAGTTGGTTTCCTATCTTTCTATTTACCTATAATAAAATATTTGTCTCAATAACTCTAATGTGTTTGTCTTTTCATTTTCTATAATTAATGTTCTTTATTAGTGTAATAATGTACAAATATTACTCTTATTATGTTACAAAAGTTCAAAGTCATATTATTAATCCACTTAATTATCGTAACTTTTTAATCTTAGGAATTTATTATATTAAATGTAATATTTATTTAAAATGTGAAATATACTTTTTAATATTTTGTGTTTAAGCCAAATAAAATTAAAAGAAATAGGAATTTTGTATGTGTCATTTTCTTGAATCTTTTTTGCGTAGTTAATTCTCTCTTTTGTTCTCTTTTATGTTATTTTTAGATTTTACATTTTTTTCCAATATAAGTTGTCCCAAAAACAATTGAATACCACTTAATACATTTTCTTCGTTTTCATTGTTGCACTCATATTCTAAAAATCCTAAATTTGCCCAAAACATGCACTTATTTTCAAGAGATTGTAAGTTCATCGAAAAAATGAAACAAAATGATAAAATGCAGAAAAATAACCAAATTATAATGAAAAAAGATTTAAAGCTTACCAAGGATGAAGAATTGCCTTTTTCTCTTCAAAATTTTGTCAAACACCTTATGCCCTATTTGTAAATTTTTATCAGTTTTACCCTAATCTAGAGCATGGGGTTTCGAAAGAGAGAGAAATTGGGAAAATACTTTATACTATATTATCGGGTCGAATTTGAGTTTCGAGTATAAGTGAAATACGGATATTAAATATCGAGCGCCAGAAAAACAAGGTAGTTTCGGGTATAAGTGAAATACGAATATTAAATATCGAGCGCGAGAAAAACGAGGTAAAATGAAAAAGTATTTTGAATTATATGTTGTACGAACATATGTTAGTCAAGATAGAAAATATGAAACTTGTGTCTAGTTTACTCTTGTTATGAAATCGTACTATTAATACCATAACATAGATGACATGTAATTAATAGAGGAGATATAACAAAATTATTCTTTTACTTGTTGTTTCTTAAGTGATATGTTACGAATAACAGAAGGAGGAAATAGTAAGCTTCGTGTATAAGGTTAGTTGGTACTTTCTCATTTCTAAAATAAGTTGTGTTATAAGATTTCAAGAAATAATCTATCAACATGGTTGTGGTGCAGTAGTGATACTATACCACCTTAATATGGTTGGAGCGTCACCCCCAAATGAATCATAGAGTGTGCGATCTGAAGCTAGTCAGGGCTTCAGACACCCCCAAATAAATCCTAGAGTGCGCAATTCAGAGTTAGTTGAGGCTTCGGATATGTGTGAATTAAAAAAAAGGAGAAAGGATTGATCATACTCTTCCAAAATAACTCTTATTTCAATACATGATGTTTTATACCATTAAGGAATTCTTTCTTCAAGGCATTTAATTAGGGGTAAATTAGTAAGAACACTTCTTATTTCCTAGGAATGATTAACATTTTTTTTTAAAAATGATAGACCTAAGGTAAAAAAGTTACTTAATTTATAACAAGGAGAATATTTTATTAACTTATATATATATACTAGCTTCGAGTACGTGCGTTGCACGTGTGCCTCAGGCTAAGTTGCACGAAGGTGTTGTGGCGATGCGTTTGTATGACCTCTTTGATATTAAAGATGAAGAAACCACAAATATTGCGAAAGAAAAATAATTATGTGTTAAATATATGTACATTTTGATTTAGTAATTTACTGGATAAAAATTGATCAACAACAAAATAGTTACAAATTACAATAATTAATTAAGAAAAATATATAGAGAACTTTCACATATATAAGAAATATTAGGCAAGATAGAAGACAAATTCATATTCCAGCTATCTCAAATTTTCTTTTCAAGAAAATCAACAAAACTTTCTCTTGTAATAGAGGATATATGTACTTTTTACTTGTAAAGATGGGTCTTAACTTTTTCTTTTAGGGTATATCGCAAACTCATCAACCCATTGACCGAAACTCGAAATTAGAACCATCCAAAAACACAATCTTTGTAAGATTTTTGGGACAAGCTTATATAACTTCCTATGCTTTTGAAACTAAAAACTACAAAAAGGAAGTAACTTTTATCAACTTTATGAACAATATACACACATCCAAAAGGAAACAAGCAACCTAAAATCCAGGGGTGAATTTATATGCTAATTACAGGGCTCGTAAACTCGTAATCTCTTCGTAAAATTAAATGGTGCACTTGGTTGAAAATGTTGAGTTACTTATCTAGATGAGTCAGGGATCAATTTCCACTTAATACATTTTCATTGTTATACTCATATTCTAAAAATCCTAAATTCGCCCGATACATGCACTTATTTTCAAGAGATTGTAAGTTTATCGAAAAAATGAAACAAAATGATAAAATGCAGAAAAATAACCAAATTATAATGGAAAAAGATTTAAAGCTTACCAAGGATGAAGAATTGCCTTTTTCTCTTCGGAATTTCGTCAAACACCCTATGCCCAATTTGTAAATTTTTATGAGTTTTACCCTAATCTAGGGCATGGGG